CCGTCAGAATTATTCAAACTAGCCAATCCTAAACTCTTTCCCTGCCCTGTCTTGCCTTTCCCGCTGAAACCCCAATAAAGTCTCTGGCTTGGGCGTCCCCCTTGCTCCTTCTGCCTCCTGACCAAACCTAGTGCTTCTCCACGTGGCCCTGCCGTAGTATGGTGGGCCCCCTCCTCTCGGGAAACACAGGTAATAAATTCTTTCAATCGTATTCATCTCTCCATGTCATCAGTCACCTCCACAAATTAAAATTCCCCACATGCAACTGAAACAGTAGCTGTGCCACTGAGTTCTCAGTCCTCGAACACCAGACCTATTTTGTTTTTGGTGGCAAAGTGTATCTAACATAAAATTTACCATTTTAAGTGTACAGTTCAGTGGCATTAAGTGAATTTACACTGTTGCGAAACCATCACCACTGTCCATCCCCAGAAATTTTCCATCATCCCAAATTGAAACTCTACCTATTAAACAATAACTCCCCTTTACCCACTTACCCCCAATCCCTGGTAACCACTATTCTACTTTCTGTGAATTCTAGGTCTCTCATATAATGGAATCATACAATATTTGTCCTTTTGTTACTGGCTTATTTCATTTACCATGTCTTCAAGGTTCATCCACGTTGGTTGGAGCATGTGTCAGAATTTGTTTCATTTTAAGGCTGAATAATATTCAACTGTACATATATACCCTATTTTGTTTATCCATTTATCCATATCAATGGACATTTGGTTGTTTCTACCTTTTGGCTATTGTGAATAATGCCGATACAAACTTTGGTGTATAAATATTCATATAACAGCCAGAAAGAGCTTTCTAAAACATAAATCTGTTCAAGTTATTAATACTCCCCACCCTGAAACCCTATGGTAAGTTAAAACCAAAATAAGATTCCATTAGACACCCTACAAATTAGCTAAAATGGAAAAGGCTGACAATTCCAAGTGTTGGCAAGAAGGCAGAAATGAATCAGTATTGGGAGTGTAAAATGATACAACCACTTTGGAAACACAACAGTTGCTACACTGTTAAATATACACTTACCCTATGACCCAGAAATCCCATTCCTAGATATTTATCCAAGAAAAATGAATGCACTTTTTCACAAAAAAGACTTATTATAGCAGCTTTATTCATAATAGCCAAAGAGAAACTCAAATGTCCAATAGATGAATGGATAAATAAGTTGTGGTCTATTCACACAACTGTATACTACCGTTAAAGAATAATTTTTAATATCAAAGATAATCATGACTTCTATACAGATATAACAGATATAATATAAACACATGTCAAACATTTTATTTAACTCATTAATTAATGAGATCCAGAAAGATTACAACTGATTCAAAGGAAAATTCAAAGTACCACACATACATGGTCAAATGAAGAATGAAATAACTTTTCAAACAGATGCAAAATTAGCAGAACTGACCAAATCCACAATGCAATAACCAATTACAATCCACTGAACACAATAACACAATTTGTATTTCAAGAACAAAAACAAATTTATGTTTGTTTTTACAAGAATCAATTTTATAAAAATTTAGAGCTGTTCCATAGCTCAAAAACAAAGAAAGGTGCAAAGCCCTCTTGGACCCTCATAGAATCATATATGCGAGAAGGATATAGGAGGGTATGCTAGACACATTTTTTTTTTCCAGAGACAGGGTCTTGCTCTGTTACCCTCTGTCAGGCTGCAGGGCAGTAGCCCAATCAAAGCTCACTGCAACCTCAAACTCCTGGGGTCAAGCAATCCTCCCACCTCAGCCTCTCAAGTACACATAATCTTTTTTAGGCCATTTCGAAGTTTTTCACAATTTTTCACTGTATTACACAGTAATAAGGAATGAACTACTGGTATACACAATAGAGATGAAGCTCACAGATACCATGCTAAGCAAAAAAGGCAGACAAGAGTATATACTGTATGATACCAGGTTCTCCATGGAGGCTGAGATAGACTGAGAAGCTCAGCAAGGGAATCTTTTGGGGTGCTGGAAATTATACATGTGTGTGTTTGTGTGTATGAAATCATTGAGGCATACATTTAAGATTAGTACACACACGTCTCATCACCCCATCTTCACACCCACAAAATCCTTCCAACTGTTGCCATTTACCTTCAGGGTGAAGTCCAAACTCTGATCTAGTCCCTGTTTCCTCTCATGTGTCATCTCTCCCTAATCCTCATTTTCCAGACATTTCCTCAAAGGTCCCTTCCAGTTTCATGGCCTTTGCATCCAAATTATACCTTCTATTCATCTCTCAGGTCTCAAGATACATTTTCTGGAAAGCCTTACCTGATCCTCCAAATCTTCATACATATCTCTCCCAGATGCTTCTATGACATCAGATTCTTACTGAAACTATTAGCACACATGTCTTTCTATTCCACAGAATATGCCCTCCAAAAGGGAACTCTCAGGGCCTAGCACAATGGCTGGCACTAGAGTTCCTCACAGAATTGAAGAATGGTGAAACAAAAGCAATAGAAGAATTAAGGCAGTGTGAGAATTAAGAATTAAGGCAATTTCAGCTGAATGTCACCCTTACTGAGTTATGAGTATCCCACTTAGCACTTTGGTTGGCATCATTCAAGCCCAATGGTTAGCCATGCGTTATTCTTTTGGCAGATTGTTCATATCTTCTCGTTTTCTCTATCCCACCTCTTGCTTGGCCATTTTCCTATTAAAAATATGCTTAATTTTCGGCCGGGCGTGGTGGCTCATGCCTGTAATCCTAGCACTCTGGGAAGCCGAGGCAGGTGAATTGCTCCAGGTCAGGAGTTCGAAATCAGCCTGAGCAAGAGCGAGACCCCGTCTCTACTATAGATAGAAACAAATTAGTTGGTCAACTAAAAACATATAGAAAAAATTAGCCGGGCATGGTGGTGCATGCCTGTAGTCCCAGCTACTTGGGAAGCTGAGGCAAGAGGAGTGCTTGAGCCCAGGAGTTTGAGGTTGCTGTGAGCTAGACTGACACCATGGCACTCACTCTAGCCTGGGCAACAAAGTGAGACTCTGTCTCAAAAAATAAAATAAAATAAAATAAAAAATATATATATACATACATTTATATATATATATATACTTAATTTACTTTGCTTTTGCTTTTTCCTGTAAAGAAGGGTAGCCTGGAGAGCATTTTAATAACGATGTGTTTTGTTTGGCTGCAGCATTTTGTTTTTGCAACATTTAGAAATCAATAGATTTCACATACAACAAGATCTCCAAACAGAACAGAAACAGATGTTCAGTTTTTCCTAAAAGAGAGGAAAAAAGGAAGAAAGGGAGGGAAAGAGAGGGAAGGAAAGAATGATAAGAAAGATCTGGCATCACAAGGCCCACATTCCTGAGTGGCAAACATGGGCTGGAACCGCAGTATGGCTTCTCCCACAGGTACTGCACATGTCTCCTTGCCCCTGTTGAGGACAATCTGCAGTGGCTCATGTAGAGAAGTATGGGTGGGACAGAGGCTAACGTTATTAAAGAAGGTGGAGAGGAGACCGCCAAAGCCTCATGGAGACAGACAGTCCGAGCCAAGAGACAAGGGCTCAGAGGCCTGGCCTGTGAGAACTGCAAATCTCAGCTCCTCGCAAACTCCCCGGCTTTTTAATCCCGCCACAGTCCGGATACCAGTGCCCGTTTAATTTAACCTTTTGCACTCAGATGTAGAGTGTGACTCGACATGGTTAGCATCGGTAGCAGCTCATATGTCGAGCCACACTCAACACGTAGTTTCACCGTGGGGGGAAGGGAGAATTTTTGTATATTTTTCCAGTATCTTTTCTTGTTTTCATTAGCATGAAAGGACACGTAAATGCCATCTCAACTGATGCCACCGCCTAAGCTTATCTTTTGCATAGGCAGCAATCTTGAGTAGGAGGGTCCAAGGCATGAGTCTTTTTTGAGCTTGCATCATCTAGGTAAAGAACCTTCCTTATCTTTTCATCTCCTAAGTTTGTTTAGGTTTCTATTAGCATATCACAGATGTTGTCAAGACACAGTAGGTTTAGTTGGATGAATCGGTTTGCACCCTAGCAGTTGCACGTTCTGAGTGAATTTCCCCTCCTCAGGATGGATAAGTTTTCCAAAGACATAGAAAGCAGTGATGATGAATTTTACAATTGTACAAAGAATGCCAAAAAAGAATAAATGAAAAACCGATAACGCATGTGAAATTTATTAGCAAACTAGTACATGATCTTGTTGGAGAATTCAGAGATGGTACACTAACTTCCAGGGGTAGATTATTATCCACTAACTTAGAGCAACATTTAGATGGAAAGCTCCATATAATCACACCTCACCCTAACAAAAAACACAAAGATTGTGTTGTTTGCTCTAACAGAAAAATCAAAGGAGGAAGAAGAGAGACGATTTATATTTGCGAAACATGTGAATGTAAACCAGGTCTTCTTGTGGGTGAATGTTTCAAAAAATATCACACCATGAAAAATTATAGAGATTAAAATTACTCTTTGAATGTATCAATAATTTGAACTATAAACAAATCCAAATAAATAAGTTTGTATGAAAAGAAACTCCAGTTTTTTATCCTACTGTCCCACTTTGTAAAATCTGGAGTATTTAAAATATTAAATCCCGAGTAGAATAAAGGAATCGAGAAAAAAAGCAAGCGAGCGCAAAGGGTTAAAGCCTGTATCAACACTAAGAAACGCGGAAAACAAAGAACCAACAAGACCCGGAAGCCGCAGGTTTTACCGTAGTCACCTGACTCTCCCTCCGACTCTGGCCTGGGGGTGGGGGGAGGCGAGAGCGGGATACGTGCCCCGCCCCACGCCGTACGGCGACCCCGCCCCAGCAGCGCGAGGGGGCGGGGACTTCAGGACGCAGCCAATCGGAATCTTCTGGATTCCGGCGGGAAGGGAGCTACCGCTCAGCGCGGGAGACGTGGCTGTGGCGCGGGGACTTTGGATCCAGGTAGGGCCGGCTAGGAGTGCGCGGGAGGTGAGTGCTGCGCGCGTGGAACTAACGGTCGACCCACCCTGGTCGGGAGCCGGAGGCCTGGCGCGTTCCTCCGTTGCCCGCTGGGGTCCGCCTAGGCCCGCCGAGCCCTCTGGTCTGGCGAGCATTCCGGGAGGAGAGCAGGGACACAAATAGGTCCCCACCGGGGAAACAGCCCGGGGGCGGGGTCGCCCCGGGCGTCAGTGGCCGAGCGGGGCCGCGGGCCCCTCATGCTTCTTGCTTGTGTAGTCCAGTGCCTGACACGATGCCTGGCACAGAGTAGACACTGGGTGATGTACAGCCCGGACCTCTGGCACCACCTCCATTTTCTTCCTGAGGGGAAACCAAAACATTTTGTGCTTTTCCACCGGCCTTCCGTGGTCCTGAGGCAGGGTGTTGTGTGTGCCGTGTGACTGGCGCCCGGGATCTTACAGTTACAGCTTCCCAATATTCCTGCAAGGTGAAGTGGATAAGAACACAGACTACCTCGGATTGCCTGGGTTCGAGTCCTGGCTGTTTCGAGTATCAGCTCTGTGACTGTCCACACGTTACTTAAACACTTCAGTGTTTTGGTTTTCGCCTGTTCCTATGGGAGAAATGATGCCTTCTATTCCCTGGAGTTTTTGTTAGGATTAAACGGTTTAATATACGCAGTAAATGCTTCAAAGAGTACCTGGAACATACTAAAGGTTTTGTTACCATTACCCCGAAAAGTGAGTAAAATTGTTCCCATTTTAGACATGGAGAATCTGAAGCACAAACAGGTAGAAAGGGCATTTGGTGATTAAGTACTAGAGAGAGGATTAGAACTAAGAACTTCCTGACTCCAAAGCATCTCCCGCATCAGGCTTTCTCCCGTACCCCTCACGTGCCCTTAGGTCACACAGAACTTTAGACACTTAGTGGTGTTAGGTGGAACAGGCACCTGACAGCTCCTGGTGCCACCAATGTAAATAAATAGCCTGTGCGTGCCACTGTCAAGATTAAGGGACAGGGATGGGAGAGACTAGGTGAGAGATCAGAAGGTGGAGAATGGGGGGATGCAGAAGTATTCTGTTTGAGGAATAGTAGATAGATTTAAATTGCATCAACATTCTGTTAGCTGGACTGTTATACTGTCAGAAAGTAGCCTATAGTTTATTAGGAAGAAATGAAATTTCGGGGTCTTATGTCACTTTCCATGCCAGTTACCATGATAGACACCCTATACATATAATTTACAATCCTAGCAATAACCTGGAGAGGTTGCTGTTGCCTTTATTCTACTGATGAGGAAACCAAGATTTAAAAAATTAGACAAAGACCAGTTTTTGTAGTAAAAGAATAATATGCAGGGAAATTCTACACTTCCACTTTAGGATAGTTGGTATTACCTATGAGTGGTGAGAGAAGGGAAAGAGATAAGGGAGATGAGTGGCATTTTAAATATATCTAAAATGTGGCTAGGCACAGTGGCTCATATCTGTAATCCTAACACTTTGGAAGGTCTAGGTGGGCGGATTGCTTGACTCCAGGAGTTCAAGACTAGCCTGGGCAACATAGCTGGCTCTACAAAAATAGAAAAATTAGCCAGATGTGGTGTTATGCACCTGTAGTCCCAGATATTTAGGAGGCTGAGGCAGGCGGTTCACTCAAGCCCAGGAGTTTGAGATTGCTGTGAGCTAGATGACATCCCTGCACTCTAGTCTGGACAATAGAGCAAGACCCTATCTCAAATAAATAAATATAAAATGTTTTGTGCATTTAAAAGAGAGCAAAATAGGAACAAATTCAACTTCATAAACTTGGTTGGTAGGTACATGGGTATCATTTTGTTTTCTGTATCTTTCTATGTTTGAAATATTTTAAATTAAAAGATATACATATATAATTTATGTTTATATGTGTTTCTTTTAAAGGAAGAAAGGATAGAACAAAGAGGTACAAGGTAATTGCAAAATAATCCTGGGAATTTAGTGCTGAAAGCTCTCGAGGGTCTCAATTACCTGTAGGATAAAATCTAAATTCCTTAGCAAGATACCTGAGACTTTTGAGCAGTCTGTTTCTCTAACTACATACTATTCTACCTCAACCTTTGTACAAATAGTGCATATACCACTCTTTCTTACAGCCTCAGTCACATCTGAAAGGTTCCACTTATTCTTCAAGATCCAATTCAGTGTTCTTTGAAAAGCTTCTCTATGATTTTCCTTTTTTCTCTTCATCTGGAAAGCCATAGGCTTTTAAGAAAAGACTTTATTGTCAGACTTATCTCATTGCATTGTAATTATTTGTTGACATGTCCATTTCCCACTAGTCTAGAAGCTCCTTGAAGGTGGTAATTATGCCTTGCTCACCTCTGCACTTCTTTGCCTACCATAAGCCTGGCACAGAGTAATCACTGGGTAAATATTAGCTGAATGAAAAATACACATGGAAGTCAGAGAGCAGAAGTTCTTGGAGTTGTGACACATGGACTTTGTTCTCTAGAATGACAAGGAACTATTGAGTTTACTTTGTTTAAAAATTCCTACTTCCTACCTTGGGCCGGGCATGGTGGCTCACGCCTGTAATCCTAACATTCTGGGAGGCTGAGGCAGGAGGATTGCTTGAGGTCAGGAGTTCAAGACAAGCCTGAGCAAGAACAAGACCCATCTTTACTAAAAACAGAAAAACTACCTGGTGTGGTGCTGCTGGCCTGTAATCCCAGCTACTCAGGAGGCTGAAGCAGGGGAGTGGCTTGAGGTTGCTGTTAGCTAGGCTGACACCAAGGCACTCCGGCCCAGGTGACAGAGCAAGACTCCGCCTCAAAAAAAAAAAAATTCCTACATTGCTGGGCACCTGTAGTCCCAGCTATTTGGGAAGCTGAGACAGGAGGATCGCTTGAGCTCAGGCAACATAGTGGGACCTTGGCTCTCAGAAAAAAAAAAAAATTCCTGTATCTTATTGAAACATATTCTCAATGTCAAGAAAATATTGCAGTCATGATCCTATCTTTCAGTTACTTTAGCTATTTTTATTTTTCATGAGTCCTTTCCAAATTTTTGCTACAAAATTAGCAATACAGATTTAGCTGTATGGATTTCATAGGTAGCTATAACCATAATGTATTCATAACTTAGTATTTTGCTTTATTCATTATTAAATTATTCCTTGTAGCTATTCAGTCTTCATGGTTGTCATTTATCTTGTAAGTTTTTACAATATTCCTCTCTCCTTAGTTTAATAGGTATGAAATGGTGTTCTGTGCTGTTAATTATTAGCAAAGTTGGACAATTTTTTTTAAAAAACTGAGACAGAGTCTCGCTTTGTCACCCCAGGTAGAGTGCAGTGTCGTTATCATAGTTCACTGCAACCTCATACTCCTGGATGCCAGCAATCCTCCTGCCTCAGCCTCCCAAGTAGCTGGAACTACAGGTGTGCATCACAAGCCCCAGCTAATTTTTCTATTTTGAGTAGAGACAGGGATCTCACTCTTGCCCAGGCTGGTCACAAATTGGATAATTTTTCCATAAGTTTATTTAGTGTATATTCTGTTGAACTATTTGTTAACACTCACTGAATGTTTGTTCATGGGAACTTGGATGTTCTTTGTATGTTTTTATTAATAATGTTAATCTTTTATATGTTATTTGCTAATATGTGTTTTATATGTTATATGCTAATTTTTCTTTAAAAATTTTTTATTGTGAGAAACAAGATGTATTTTTTAAGTGTAAAAGTACATTTTATATATAATTTAAAGATAGTTATAAAGAAATTATAAAGTTTAATTGTACATTAAAATTATATTTTATAAATTATAAATGTAAAGATTAATTATAAAATTATCATTACACATAACCATCATCAAGATTAAGAAATATAATAGAACATTACCAATACCCTGGAAGTGTACCTCCCTCATCATACCTTCTCCCCACACTAGAGAGAACTATTCTCTGATTTTTGTGATAGTAATTTTGTCTTCATAATTTACCTCATCTATACTTCTATAGTTAATATTCAGTTCAGTTTTGCCTGGTTTCAAACTCTATAAATAGGTGATGCTATATGTATTCTGTGTCTTTATTGTTTGGCTCAACATTTTTTTTGTGAGATTCATCCATATCATAGATACAGGGTTTTCAATTTTCATAATTTTAAATTTTTTGTTTTTTACTATTTAAAATAATTTATTATTTATTTATTTATTTTTTAGACAGAGTCTCACTTTATTGCCCAGGCTAGAGTGCTGTGGCGTCAGCCTAGCTTACAGTAACCTCAAACTCCTGGGCTCAAGCAATCCTTCTGCCTCAGCCCAAGTAACTGGGACTACAGGTATGTGCCACCAGGCCCAGCTAATTTTTTCTGTATATTTTTAGCTGGCCAATTAACTTCTTTCTATTTTTGGTAGAGACGGTGTCTCGCTCTTGCTCAGGCTGGTCTCGAACTCCTGAGCTCAAATGATCCACCGGCCTCGGCCTACCGGAGTGCTAGGATTACAGGCATGAACCACTACGCCCAGCCTTAAATGCTATTTTGAAAAGCAGTTTTATTGATTTAATTGACCTACAATAAACTGCATGTATTTAAAGTATACAGTTTGATCAGTTTGACATACACACACATACACACATCAAAACCGCATCAAGTTAATGAACATATCCATCACTCCCGAAAGTTTCTTCGTGTCCCTTTGTAATTTTGTCTTCTTGCTGCCTTTACCCCAGTCAACCATTTATCTGGTTTCTGTAGCTATAGATTAATTAGCATATTCTGGAATTTTTAATTAGTGAAATAATGGAGTATGTATTCTTTTTTTATCTCATTTCTTTTATGTCACATTATTTTTAGATCAGTTTTTATGGAGTATATATAACAAATATTTGATGCATAAATTAGATAAAGGTAGCACAAAGAAAGGAAATTACAGAATGAATACTATTTGTAAATATCTACGCAAAAGTTTTAAATGAAATACTACCAAACAGAATGCTGTACAATGTGACAAAAATATTAGCTCCTGACCAATATTTATTCTAGGAATGTAAGGATGGTTCAATATTAGTATCTAATATCATTCACCATATTAATAAATCTAAGAAGAACACATATTTACCTTTATATATGCTGAAAAAACCTTTGGCAAGATTCAACATCAATTCAAGTAAAAACACTAAAGAAATTAAGTTATAATCAATACTTCTTAACTATGATATCTCTCCCACTCTGTCTCACACATAGAGAGAACTTAGTCCTAAAGCCAGCATTTTATTTAATAGAAAAACACACTAGGGGTATTTTCACTAAGATCAAGAAAAAGGCAAAGATACTCATCAACTCCACTTGTTTTTTTCCCACTCATGTTTAACATTGTATTGGATGCTTAGCCAATGCAATTAGATAAGAGAAATCAATGAAGAGGCACAAGATCTGGAAAATAAAAAGTAATTCTGGCCGGCCGCGGTGGCTCATGCCTGTAATCCCAGCACTCTGGGAGGCCGAGGCGGATGGATTGCTCGAGGTCAGGAGTTCAAGACCAGCCTGAGCAAGAGCGAGACCCCATCTCTACTATAAATAGAAAGAAATTAATTGGCCAACTAATATATATAGAAAAAATTAGCCGGGCATAGTGGCACATGCCTGTAGTCTCAGCTACTCGGGAGGCTGAGACAGCAGGATTGCTTGAGCCCAGGAGTTTGAGGTTGCTGTGAGCTATGCTGACACCACAGCACTCACTCTAGCCTGGGTGAGACTCTGTCTCAAAAAAAAATGATGTTGGGACAAGTCGGTATCCATTTGAAAAAATAATTATATCTATACCTCATGTCACACACAGGAATAAACTCCAAATGAATGAGAGATCTAAATTTTTTTTTAAATTGACTACTAGAACAATACATAGATGAATTTTCTATAATCTGGATGTAGACAAAGTGAATAAAAGAAAAAGTTTGACTACATTAAAAAAATTTTTATTACAGAAACGAAAGATAGCATTAACAAATTTAAAAGATAGATGAGAAACTAGGAGAAAATATTTGGGACATACATCTTAAAGACATACTATCCTTAATCTAAATGGAGAGAAAAAATAGCAAAATTTGATAGAAAAGGGGCAGAATACATGAGTAGATATAACTTTTAAAAAAGATTTTAAAATTGTCCTTAAATATATGAAAAAATGTTCAATTTTATTTAAATAGGAAATGTAAATGAAAAACTGCACTGAAATGCCATTTCTTACCCATTAGATTGGCAGTAATTAGAAAGCTTCCCAAGAAGCTCTCTTGATGAGGCTGTGCAGAATGCAAACTTGTAAAACCCCTTTTCAGGGGGAATTTGGCAATATCTAACAGACTACATATGGATTTGCTACACATGCATACTTCAGTGTCCAAACAGGAAATTTGTTGACTAAACATCTACACGATGGAGTACTGTACAGCTGCGAAGAAGAGTAAGGAAAATCTTTATAAGTGAGTATAGAATGATTTCCAATATATGTTATAAATAGAAAAAGTATATGCAGTATGCTACCTTTTACATAAGAATGAAAGGGAAATAAGAGACTCTGTCTGCTCAGTTTTGTAAAAAGAAATGCAGGAAGGATCAATCAGAAATTAATGAAATTGATAACCTACGGAAGGTACATGGTAAGGGATGGAGTGGGAAGAACACTTCTCTGGTGGGGCATCTATTTAGATAGTTTTGATTTTTAGAACTATATAAATATTTTACATATCAAAAAAATCAAATTAAGTCCACAAGAATGGTACAAACATGAATTAATAAATCTATTTCAAATGATTAATCACACCGAAGGTAAGGTGGAAGGGACTAATCAAGTAACTGTTGAGTACAATACTTTGACTATACACCCTTAATCTAAAGAAAGAATGCAATTGAATTTTGAAATCTTCTTAGTGGGTTTGTTTTTTACAGTCATAAGAATGTAGCAACTCCAAAACAACTTCCTGTAGTTTGGGATTGAGCAAATGAGTAAATATATGGTAGTTTTTCCCATGAGTTTTAAGATAGATGGATAGATCAATGGATGAATAGATGTATATGTAGAAATAAATAGATGTGTTTATGTTTCCTAGAGCTTTCCACTGAAAGGGCCTAGGTCATAAGCAGCAATGACCATACCTCATGGTCAGATCTTAAAGAGTTTAAATACCTTTCCTCATGGAAAGAAACCAAGGCCCTTTGGGGAAATACTTGATTCTATGGCTGAGGCAGTGAAAGTACACAAAGACATGAACATCTTGTCCCAGAAAAAAAGAAAGTGACCAGTAAATAATGGGAACATGTCAAAGGACGGAGGAACCAATGGGTCAAAGAAGGTATTACAGGGAAATTAGAAAATATCTTGAGACAAATGAAAATGAAAACACAGCATGCCAAAACTTATGGTATAGAGGAAAAGTGGTGCTAGAAAGGAAAAGTATAGCTATAAATGCTTACATTAGAAAAGAAGAAAAATCTCAAAACAACCTTACTTTATACTTATAGGAACTAGAAAGAGAAGAACCAACCAAACCCAAAGCTAGTAGAAGGAAGGAAATAATGATTCAAGCAGACATAAATAAAATGGAGAATACAAAAACAATAGAGAAAATAAATGAAACCAAGAGTTGTTTTTTTTTAAAAGATCAAAAAAAATAACAAACCTTTAGTTAGATAGACTAAGAAAAAAATACAGAAGATTCAAATAACTAAAATAAGAAGTGAAAGAGGGACAGTAGAACTGATTTTATAGAAATAAAAATATTTGTAAGAGAAAATTAGAAGCAAGTATATGCCAACAAATTTGATAACATAGATGAAATGGATAAATTCCTAGAAACACATAACCACCAAGACTGAATCATGAAGAAATAGAAAATCTGAACAGACCTGTAACTAGTAAGGAGATTGGGTCAGTAATTAGGAGCCTCCCAACAAAGAAAAGCTCATAACCAGATGGCTTCACTGGTGATTTCTTACAAACAATTAAAGAAGAATTAACCCCAGTTCTCAAACTCTTCCAACAAATCACATATCTGATAAGGAGTTAATACCCAGAATATATAAAGAACTCCTACAGCTCAACAAATAAAAAAACAAATAACCAGATTAGAAAATGGGGAAAGGACTTGAATAGACATTTTACCAAAGAAGACATACAAATGACCAATAAACACATGAAAAGATACTTATTATCACTAATCATTATAGAATTGCAAATCAAAACCAGGAGATAGAACCTCACACCTTTTAGAATGGCTGTTATAAAACAAAACAAAAGAATAACCGGAAAATAACAAATGTTGCTGAGGATGTGAAAAAATCAGGAGCCTTGTGCACTATTAGTAGCAATGTAAGATGGTGCAGCTACTGTGGAAAACAATATGGTATTTTCTCAAAAAAATTAAAGATAGAATTACCATATGATTCAGCAATTCTACTTCTGGATATATGCCTAGAATTGAAAGCAGAGTCTCAGATATTTGTACATATATGTTCATAACAGCTTTGTTCACAATAGCTAAAAGGTGGAAGCAACCCAAATGTCCTTGGATGGATGAATAGATGAACAAAATGTGGTATATACATACAATGAAATATTAGTCATCATTAAAAAGGAAGGGAATTCTGACACATGCTGCCATATGAATAAACCTTGAGGACATTGTGCTAAGTGAAATAAGCCAGTCACAAAAAGACAACTACTGTATGATTCCACTTATATGTGGTATCCAGAGAAGTTAAATGCAGAAAGAATGATGGTTGCTGGGGACTGCAGGGAAGGGGAAATGAGAAACTGTTGCTTAATGGGTTTCAGTGTTGCAAAATGAAAAAGTTGTGGAGATAGGTTGTGCAAGAATGTCAATATACTTAACCCTGCTGAAGTGAAGACTTAAAAATGATCATGGTGGCAAATTATATGTTATGTGTATTTTACCATACTTATAAATAAATAAGAAAACAGGAGCCAACTTGAGGAAACTTCCTTCCCACTGGCCAAACATGAAATAATTTGAACATCAAAATAAAGGATGGCAATGGTTTACAACTCACTGAATCAGTTAAGCATCCTCACTGATAAAAACAACAACAAAAACAAGTAAAAAAGAAAAGTTATTTACAGTAGAATGCCATGTACTAAATGAGAAAGGATTTAGTACATGCCATGTACTAAATGTACTAAATGAGAAAGGATGGTGGGGTTAGAAAAATAATTTATACTCAAACTCTTATTTATTCAGGCATGAATCATCAGTGGATACTAAAAACTATTTGTTTTCTAGTTATGTTTATTAATATAATTATATTTGGTTAGAGAGGGTAGTATTGAGATTTCAGTCCTTTGAAGTTTGTTGAGACTTGCTTTCATGGTCCCTTACCTGGCCAGCTTTGGTAAATACCTGTTTTTGAAAAGAATATGTACATTTTTTTCAGTTGTTTGTGCAGAGTTCTATATATCAATATATCCATTAGATCAAGTTTGTGTTATTCAAATCTATTTTTTTAGTTACTTTCTCTATAAATTAAGAGAAGTATTTTAAAATCTAAATTACAGTTTTTTTCTCTTGTAATTCTATCAGTTTTGCTTCATGTATTTTGCAGCTATTTTATGGACCATACAATTTAAAGTTGTTATAACTTCCTGGTAAATTGAAATCTGTCATTATACAGTGACCCTCTTTAGTAAGGCTAGGATTTCTGTCTTAAAATCCATTTTGTGTGATATTAACATAGCTATTGTGGCTTTTCTTTGGTGAATTTTTGCATATTTTTCCCCATCTTCTTTTAACCTTTCTATATACCTAGTGTTTTAGATGTGATGTGTCTTTAATAAACAGCAAATATAGCCAGGCACGGTTGTCCGCCTATAATCCTAGCACTCTGGGAAGCCGAGGCGGGTGGATCTCTCAAGGTCAGGAGTTTGAAACCGCTGGGCCAGAGGAGCCCCATCTCTACTATAACTAGAAAGAAATTAATTGGCCAACTAAAAATATATAGAAAAAAGTTAGCTGAGCATGGTGGTACATGCCTGCAGTCACTTGGGAGGCTGAGACAGTAGGATCACTGAGCCCAGGAGTTTGAAGTTGCTGTGAGCTAGGCTGACACCATGGCACTCACTCTAGCCTGGGCAACAAAGTGAGATTCTGTCTCAAAAAAAAATAATAATAATTAAAAATAAACAGCAAATATAAAAGTTAGGTGTCATTTTTTCCACTCAGATTGATAACATTTTTTAACTAAGGCATTAGTTGATTTACATTTATTGTAACTCATAAATATTTGGATTTAAATCTACTACCTTATTTTGTGCATTGTATTCTATTTTTCTTTTTTTTCCCTTCTTTTATATAGTTTTCTTTTAGGTGAGGTTTTTTTTAATCATTTTATTTTCCCCTTCTAACTAGATTTTAAGTTACATACTGTTTTTATTCTTTAGTAGTTGTCCTGGAAAGTGCAACATGAATTGTTTGTTTTTTTCAAAGTCTAAAAGTTGATCAGTACCTTTACACTCCTCCCACGTGTACAAAGGCCTTGGAACACATGAACTCGCTTTACCTCTCTCCTCACTTTTAGGTTACTATTGTTGGGTATTTTAATCTTTTTTTTTTTACCCACAAGACTTTTTTTTAATGCAGTCAAGACTTGCACAGATTTAACCACATATTTACCACTTACTTTTTGCTTTAGTTGATCTGAGATCTTCCGTGCCCTCTCTACCTTAGGCTCACTTCTCTACCTTAAAGTACATGCTTTAGTAGTTCATTTAATGAGAGTGTGCTGATGACAAACTATTGGTTTTCTGATAATCTGAAAAAGTATTTCTCATTGCTTTTTAAATAACAGCTTATTGAGGTATATTTCACATATTTTATTTTTATTTTATTTTATTTTTTTAAACAATGTCTCACTCTTGCCCAGGCTAGAGTGCCGTGGCATCAGCCTAGCTCACAGCAACCTCAAACTCCTGGGCTCAAGTGATCCTCCTGCCTTCAGCCTCCCAAGTAGCTGGGACTACAAGTATGTGGCACCATGCCACGCTATTTTTTCTATATATTTTTTAGTTGTCCAGCTAATTTCTTTCTATTTTTTTTTTAGTAGGAATGGGGTCTGTGCTCTTGTCAGGCTGGTCTCAAACTCCAGCTCAACAATCCGCCCGCCTCAGCCTTCCAGAGTGCTAGGATTACAGGCGTGAGCCACTGCACTCGGCCTTCACATATTTTAAATTTACCCATTTAAACAGTTTAATTCAATGGCTTTTAATATATTCACAGGATTATGCAAATGTCATCACAACCAATATTAGAGCATTTTCATCAGCCTAAAAGGAGACCCCTGACTCCTTGCTTGCCATCATCCCCAAATCCTCTTGTCCTCCAACCTAGGCAATCACTTATCTACTCTCTGTCTCTATAGGTTTGCCTATTATACATTTCATATAAATGGAATTGTATAATATATGATTCTT